GAGAGAGTCTTGGTGGCAAAAGCCACACATTGGTGGTCTATTTCCAGCCTTACCACTCTCTGGCTATATTTGCACTTGGTTGAACAATTTCAATGTAAAAATTTGTTGGCGTGCCTGCTGCATGCAAAGTGCTGTACTATGCATAGCAGGGAATGAATTTAGTCATTTGACAAACATTTATTCAGCACCCACTATGTACTTGGCACCGTGCTAGGTGCTGGAAGTACCACTTTGAATAATACCCTATTCTTGCTCTTGAGGAACAGCACTTCACCTCTGGGGTTCAGTTCTCTTATCTTAACTGAGAGAAGGAAACTAGATCATTTCTAGGATCACCTCTAGGTCTAAACTTTTATGGTCCTCAACAACTTCCCCTAGATCTCTATCATGTACTCCTTTTGGGGGGGGGGAGGGGAATGTTTTGTTGTTGTTTCAGTTCAAACAGAAGTTTAAAATAGGGGATTAAACAAAGTTTTCAAACCTGCATTACAAACATCATATATTGACTTGAGTTCAATAGTATAATGCTTCTCCCTAAATCTTTGTTAGAGCTTGATTCTTTCTCTATGGAATTTTATGGATGCTTGATCTTTATTCAAGATAGTATGAGGCTGAGAGCAGAATCTTCAAACCACTGAATTCTGACCAACTACCTAATATGGCTATAACCCTGCCAGGTCCCATTGGAAGAGACACACTGAGGACTCTCCAGGGCAAGAAGCACTCTAGCTGGGGCCTTGACCCACATCTCTAATGAATACTCTAAATGGGCAAGCTAGGCATCCCCATCGTGGTATTACAGGGAGTCCTTCTGCCTAGACTACATCCTGCTCCAGGCCACCTTCTTCTGGACACCTCCTGCCTCCTCTCTCCAGTTCTCTCCTAAGTGGGAGGAAGCCCCAGGGCATTTTCTGTGCCACCCACATGGGAGACAAATTCTAAGAGAGATAATCAACCCCAACATGAAAAAAAAGAATCCAAGAGAAAGATCCAAAAGGCACTCTCAACAGAAGACATTTTAACTGTGCTCTTAACACCAAGAGGTCTGCCTGTAGCATCAGTGAAATTAGACATTTTGAAAACCTATATCACAGTAATGTGCCACTGATATTTTCTTTTTCTTTTTCTTTTTTTTTTGAGGAAGATTAGCCCTGAACTAACATCTGCCGCCAATCCTCCTCTTTTTGCTGAGGAAGACTGGCCCTGAGCTAACCTCCATGCCCATCTTCCTCTACTTTATATGCGGGATGCCAGCCACAGCATGGCTTGACAAGTGGAGCGTAGGTCTACACCTGGGATCTGAACCAGTGAACCCCAGGCGAGAACCAGTGGAATGTGCGAACTTAACCGCTGTGTCACTGGGCTAGCCTCCCACTGATGTTTTCTGAAGCCAAATGTTAGCAGATGGCCAAAGGACAGAAAAGTTGAAAGGATCTGTGTTCTAGGGTTTTTCGAGGCTGTAGCCTTCCTATTAGTCAAGGGAGGAAAATAAGATATGGCGGACACATGCAGGGGGAGAATGGGAGGAAGCCATGCAGGAAATGATAAATCTTTAGGGCCACCTGGGGAATTCCAGTGGGCAATAATGTAGGGTCTGAATGATTTTCTGTAAAGGACTTATATACCCAGTTTCAGGTTTCATCACTATCCCACCTCCCTCAAGGAAGTTTCAGATTATTTCTGTGGATTTGGCCAGTGTAGGGGAGGAAGACATTTCCTCTTCCCAAATGTGGGTTCGTCTGGCTGGAGAACGAATTAAATTCACATGGGACAGAATAGCAGGAGAAAATTAAATAAAGCTTTATGAGGAACCATGGCCCGGGGCCTTTCTTCCCGAAGGAAGAAAGGGCACTGAAGAAGTCGGATGCACATAGTGGTTATATACCCCCAAACAGGGTGTTTCACATGTGATTGAAATGTCCCTCCCACAATAGTCACAAGATTGCCCCGTCAGCCCAGGGCTTGATGGACACAGCAGGTAGTGGTCTGCTAGCTTGGTGGTGGGCGTAGCAGGAGGCAAGTCGATTGTCGGGAGCTGGGCGGTCACAGGTGAGCACAGCAATCAGTTCCTAGCCTAAGGAAAGACGCTTAATCCTTAAAGAAATGCCAACATTGGGAGGGGGAGGGAAGTCAGTTACAGGAGGTTACCAGACTAGCACAATAAAATGCAGATTTTAAGTCCTTGCCTTTGGTATTGATTAAGAGTTTCTAGAGAGAAGGTCATCTCCTTTCTTCTTCCTGGTACAGAGAGGGAGGCAACTTTTACAGATAGAGATTTACCTTACAAATGTAAATGTGTCCTAACGAAGGGCAAGTTCCATTCCTCAGAGCCTCCTTCCCTGTCCCAGTTTATCAAAAGCAATCAGCCTCAAATAATCCTGATGCCAAAGAGACATATCTTGGGGTGGCCAATTTCAGGTCCCCACACCAGCATGAGCATTTATAACCACTGAGGCTCTAGGCACGAAGGCCTAAGAGACCAGACTAGAGACAAGATAATCCTAGTCCAGAGCAGCCGTCAGGATGCGGGGAGCAGGATGTAGTTTAAGCGAAAGGAGTCCCTATTGAAAGGGCCTTAAACACCACATAACTGCCCTAACTATATAAATTTGCCCTTTTTTGGTCTAAAAATCCCAACATCAGAGGCCCTGGACTGTTGATCTAACCCTGGATAGGATTTCTGATGTTTTTCCATGAGTTTATCTGACTTAGATATAAGCTTAAAGTGGGCAAGAGCTTTAATCAAACAGCTCCTACGGGAGAGGGGAACTAACATTGTTTCTATCAGTATTTCTCTTCATGCACTCTTGGTTCTTGACAAACAGAATGGTCACTTCCCTGGTATCACTCCAGGTTCTTCAAAGATCTCTGTCTAGGTTCATTTGCCATTTCATTCTATTCATTCAAAAATATTCGTTAAACGTCTGTGTGCCAGACCCTGCTCCAGGACCTGCGGACCCTAAAGTGAACAAGTTAGACGGAGTTTTCCTTCTGACTTGTAGTCCTTCTTCCTGGACTGCTCTTTTCATCTACACATGGAAATTCTGACCGTCTTGCAATTTTTAATACAAACGTTTCCTCATTCATGCATTCTTTCAACAAATACTTGGGGTTTTTTTTGTCTTTTGGGGGCTTTTTTGGGGAAGATTGGCCCTGAGCTAACATTCATGCCCGTCTTCTTCCACTTTATATGTGGGACGCCTGCCACGGCATGGCGTGCCAAGCGGTACATAGGTCCACACCCGGGATCCGGACCCGCGAACCCCGGGCCACCAAAGCAAAACGTGTGCACTTAACTGCAGTGTCACGGGGCCAGCCCCAGCAATACTTGTTGGACACTTACTGTATACCTCTCATTCAGCATGTGGTCTGTGGGGGACACGGACAAGATGCTAAAATGAGGGTACTATAAAGAAGCACCCCAAAGGAGGTGATGTCCAAGTGCTTCTCAAAGTTTCTCACGTCACAGCACGTACAGGAGATTGGTCTTGGCTAGAGGTGACTGGCCAGGATGTCCAGCTGCCCCAGGCTCTGCCTGGCCACCCTAAGGATTGAGGAGATCACTGTCTCAGCACACCTGTACTCCATCCACAGCACACCTGTTGGTCTGGTCTCGGCTAAGACCTGAAGGATAAGTAGATGCTACATAGGACAAGAGATATTAGGACCCTTCAGTCGTTCATTTAACAAGTCTTTACTGAACATCTCCTGTGTGCTAGACACTGTGCCAGGAACTAGGAATACAACAGTGAACACAGAATCTGCCCTGCAGGAGCTTTTACGTTAGTGAAGAAGACAGACAAACGGACAGGGAATTACAATACTAATACTAAAGTGTAATTTTAAGATAAAAAAATTACCTACGAGCCAAATAATGCCACAATAGCATTATTTTCTCCTCCTTTTGTAGTCAGGGATGCTCTGATGATACAGTGGTGAACCAGGAAGACAGGGTCCCTGACTCAATAAGTGTCTGTGCAGCTCTCACTGATCAGCCCTCTGGCCTCTCTTGTATTAATCCTCTGCTTGCCGTTACCCACTATTTCCTGGATTGACAGCTTTCTTCCTTCCCCACTGCTGTAGTTCCAGCTCTCATCATCTTCCACCTCCAACAAAAGAGGGCCTTTTAACTGGTTTCTTATCCATGCAACTATTCACCATAAGATTTCTAAAATGCAAATATTTGGGGTGATTTTCCATGGCCCACAGAATAAAGTCCTGACTCTTGGACTTTCCATGTAAGCCCCTGTGGGACCAGGCCCCTGTCTTATTTCTGGGCATTCTCCATCTTGCGCCCAAAGTCCAAGCAATAATTTACTGCTTGCAATAAGTTCAGATTCTGGTTTGTGGGACTTTGTGTGAGGGAGGGGATTTGGGGGCAGTTACTAGGAGATTTATTATCAACCATCAAGGGAAGAGCCCACACCAGAGGCAGGAAATGGGATGCCGGCAAGCTTGCTCTGAAAGTACACGTTTTTTCCCCAGTCATAAGTAGATCACATTTTTGCGGTCTTGTGACTCCCTCTCTGGCAGAGCCACCCAGACTAGTCTTTCCACCTTACAGCATTTCACATCACAATGACCTGTGGTTTTAATTCTCCACTTTTCTGCTTCCGAAGTTCCCGTGGTCTGGGACGCCCTTTAACTCCCAGCAGGCCTGGTGAATTCTCATTCCTGCTTCAAGATTCGTCTTAGAAGTCTCTTGTCTGGGAAACTTTCCTTTCCCGCTCACCCACTCCCCTCTCCACCTGGCGCTTCTACAGTCTGGTGGGTTTATAGTTCCATGGTCCGCAGGCCTGGCGTCTTTGGTGGCACCTTAGCCACTGCTCCCCCAGGCCCGTTAGCCGCCTACACCAGAGCCGTGCCGAAGCCCAGCAGAGTCAGAGGCACGCAGCAGGAACTCCTGGTCACGCCCGGAGCCGAGGTCCGGGGTCGCTGGCGCGGAGTCGCCTCCGGTCACGTGACACGCCGCTTGTCACGCGGCCGCCGCTCACCTGACCAGGGTCTCACGTGGCCCGGCCAGCTGGGAGGAAGGAGGCCGGCGAGCCATGGCAGGCTCCGCGCTCTGGTTTTTTCTGCTGCTGGCGGCAGCGCTCGCTGGGCGGGCGACAGCCCTATGGCCTTGGCCCCAGTACATCCAAACGTCCGACCTGCGCTACCCCATCTTCCCGCACAACTTCCAATTCCAGTACCACGTCAGTTCGGCCGCGCAGCCGGGCTGCTCCGTCCTGGACGAGGCCTTCCAGCGCTACCGTGACCTGCTCTTCGGGTCGGATTTTTGGCACCGTCCTGACCCCGCAGGTGAGTCGGCCCTGCCCGGCCTCGTTTCCGCGCTCTGGGAGAGCCCGCCTCGGGACAACTCCCCAAAAGCGCCTGAGACGCCCTTCTCTTGCCCAACCCTCTAGTCTAGTCACACCCTCTAGTCTCCGCTTCTTTGTGCCCCTTTTCTCCAGCTGTACTCTCAGCCTCCCCAACGTTTAGTTCCCCACCTCCACTCTTTCACTGAGCTGACTTCCGGGGCCAGGATTTGTCCAAAGTCCTGCCGCTAGGCTGTGTTTCTCCAAAAATGCCTGCTGTCGAACTCCTGTTCAATCAGGATATCAAATTACTGAAAATACAGTGCCAGTAGACATCTAAGGTGATCCCTCTGACCCTGTTCAAGTGTCACAGGGTCCTAGTGAGGCTGTGACCAGGGCTGGGTAGAGGAGACCAGAGCTGACACCCAAAATTGATGAGACAAACCATGAGAAATGTATTGACCTGTGCAAAATTACATAGCTGTGCAGTAAATCTTTAAACACTTCCACAGGGCAATGAGTTTTGAGCAGCCACTTAAGTGAGGTGGTGGATATAATTGGCCAGGACTGAAAGGAGGGTGTTCCAGGAAGGAAGAAAGGCTTGAGCAGAAGCACAAAGGATTATGATTGAGCTCAAAGTGCTGGGCTAATGTGTGTGATGAGAGTGGGGGCTGGGTAGTGGGGAGGAATGAGGTCTGGGAAAGTGTGGGATTGCAACGAAGTCAAGAGTGCTTTGAATACTGGATTCATCTAAAATAGCAAGGGCTGACAATTTTCTCTAAGGCAGCTGCTGAAAATTGTGTTTAAGGGTTATTATTTCACAGAAAATTGATGAGTAGAGTCATAAGTAGAGTCAGCAACTTAAAGGAATAAAATTACTTTATGGGCTTAAAATTTGGAGTTTTCTTGAAACTCTCCTGGAATCTAGTTCTCTGGTTATGATGTATAGGTGTTTATGGGCGGGGGGAGCCCTACTTATGTGTGGGCCATCATTTTGTATGATGTTTCAAGTGTGCTTAAATTACTTTGACAAATGTTCTCATTTGATGTACAGAATTAAGAGCATTTAATTAAACAGATGGCGCTTAGAGAGTGACAGATGATTTAGGGAAAGAAACAGAGTCTCTGCATCAAGGTAGTCCTTAACTGGAAAGATGCATTAGGGTGGGGAGGATAAAAGGCCTGCCCCTGTAGGTGTGGTAGATCACGTTTTTCTCTGAATCCTTCATGACCAATTAATAGAATGCCTTATACAAGATTGGCACTCAGAATATGTTTATTTTGGATAGAACAGTTAGGGTCTGGCTTGTGCAAAAAAAAATAGATCTGTCATCGAATTGGTATGTGGCTATCCTAGTGCGGGGCACTCTGGAGGTTACAAGGAAATTATAAGATGTAGGCCCAAGTTTTGCAGTCCACTTGGGGAAATATGAAGCAAAAGTACACAATGTATTATAAAATGCTCAGGAGATAATCAGAATGTTTACTGCTATTATATAAATTAGGATAATTTCTGTACTTCTAAATTAAACCTTTATCTCCATTGCTCCAGCACTACAGTAGAAATGAGGAGGTTATGTGGCAATGGGTGCCGTAAATTCCCTAATGAAAAAGACTTTGAGACAGATAAGAAACTCAATAAGATGTTTATTTCCATTTATTACCTTCCTATGAATGAATTTGCTCTATTGGTTGAGGGTCCCTGTCCATTGAGAGATAATGAAAACTGGTTTGGATGAACCTGACCAAAGACATTCAGGTAACTTCCTTCTCTATGGTTCTTCCCATGGAGCACCTTCCATTTGGAACATAGTTTTCTGGGGAGGCTTTCAGGTAACTTGAGCTATAATCCTATTTCTGCAAAAACAAGGATGAATTGATGGAGAGAAAAACAACATCCGCAGAACCCGAACCACAGTATATTTCTCTGTGGTGCTGATTTTAGTAAAGAAAACAACATATGCAAGTTAAATCTTAGCTAACTACTTTCCACCCCCTTCCTGCAAATAACTTCCTTGTAGGCTATGGGTCAGTGTTTTTTGTAATGCAGCACAACTTCTGATTTTAATATGAACTTGGAACTCAGTGAAATTCATATTTCTCTTTTCTGAAAAACAAGTCTGGTACTGAGGTTTGGTTCTGTTCTGAATTTGCCTTCAAGGGTTGGCTGTGGTCCCACCAATTGCCAAACACCTGTGGAGGTGTTTAGTGTTTGCTAATTGTCTTTGTCATTGACAAATGACAAATGTCATTTCTGCCTACTGGAGGGTGTGTGTTGCATGTTGTCAAACCTGTTAAATGGAATTATTTTAGGCTCTAGATACTTGGATGAACCTAGTTCTCTGTTTTGATTATTAAGCCACATCCTGTTTGCAAATCAAAGGTGTGATCATTTGGGAGGGCACCCATCTAATGTTGCTCCAAATACTTTTTTGGGTGCTTGATGGAGTTGATAAAGCCTGAATTTTTCAGGTCAAGTGGCTAAATCTGATTCTTTCATTTGACTGCATTCTTCTTTGCTTTTCCTGAAACCAGTTGATTAAGCCATAGTACTTAATGGCTAATATAAAGTTCCCATCCTGTTCTGAGGTTCACATGCACCTCCCTGTGAGTTACTTAGAATGCCTTGTCCCTGAACAGAGTAATCCTCAGCCGCTTCCTCAGTCCTTTTATTCTAGAATGGAAGGAAGATTATTATATGAGTATCTAGATCCTTCTGCAGCCATTATCAATATTTGATTTGCTCATCCTCAGATATTAAATGAGTGACTAAGTTAATAACAGGCATGGTGCATTAGAATCTGAATCTCCTAAAATACCTTCTTAAGCCATTCCTTCTATAACTATGGCTGGAACGTGGTAGATATCGCTCCCCCTGCCTTGGATATTCTGCTTGAAGACCACATACAGTGGAGGACTCAGGGTCTCAAACATATTTTATTCAGGAGTCAGCCAGAAAATGTTTATTAACCTCTTGCTTAACTGTCTGCCTTCAGGCAAATCGTCTAATTTCCACGCAGCTGCTGTTGCTTTTTTTTCCTCCGCTGCCTACATTCCAAGCATTTCTGAAGATAAGGAGATAGTGATGAATATCCTTACAATCTTTGAAGGAGGGTACAATGCAAGGAAGAACTTGGTGATTTTAAAAGTAAAACAAATTAAAAATAAACAATATGAGCCCCAGAGCTGCCTTCCTCCCTTCTCCTTCCACCCCACTTCCTCATCTCCAAACAGGAGAATAAAGTAGGGCATTGCAGGGTTTTTGCCAGTTGATACCTTCTCTTTTGGTTTGTTTTGTATCTAATAGCAGGTGTGGGCTTTTTTTCCTTAGAGCTGCACAACCTCTTGCTGGGGCACGTTGTCGATTTCTTAGCCTGTTAAAGGCATAAACCTCAATCCTTTTCCTGTGGATTATACAGAAGGTAAGGAGTTTTACTGCCCAACCAATACTTTTTTTTAGAAATGAAAGAGGTTACTGTTATTTTTCTGCATTTTCCTAAATTTCCTCTGCTGGCCTTGGAAATAAATGATGAGAATAGAGTCAGTATGCATCATCAAGAGGTTTAACCAATTGGAATAGGAGCTTTCTCCCGCCTTTGTGGGCCCACTGACATCAAGGTCAGCTGAAGAGAGGAGATGGGATCTGTCGAGGTGAGACAGGTGTATATGGGGAGGATTTTCTGTGATCTAGCTCAAGGTTTATGGCGCTTTAATTCATTGTAATAGAGAAATGGATTTGCTGTTCTTCTCTATTCCTGGCTATAGTGAGTAAGACCCCTTATTAGGTCAGGAACTTCTCGCTTTCATTTCCTTTGCTTCTGTTTTAAGCTTCTGTTATTGCTTAAGCTTCCTGGCCGTGCACTCAACCCTGATCCCTAGCCAGCAGTGGTGTGCTGTTGTTGTGTCCACATCTTGAGGTTGGTTGGGTCTGATGTAGAGCTCTTTCCTCTGGAACTGTATGCTCAGATGCAGGAAGTCTGGGCATTTGTCAGCTCGGGTGTCAGTAAGCAGCCTCCCCTTCTTTTGTACAGCTTTGGAATGGGAGCGAGGGAGAAGCCTTACTAGGTACACTGTGTCCTAGATGAAAAGGTTAGCTACTGTCTTAGTCAACCTTGTCCTGGTGGTAGCTAGTACTAGGATCCCCCAGTGATGGCTTTAGTCTTTTGACTAGGGCCGCAGTCCTAGTTTGCAGCGGATTCAGAGTTCTAAGCTCATGTCCCTTTTGTATGTGGGAGTGTCAGCCTGTTTGCCATACAAGGTGGCACCACACAGTAGTGGATCCTTCAGGCTCCTCTAGGAGACTCATGAAAAGCCCTCAGGGAAGCTGCTTCTATGGTATGGTTGTCCCACAAGGCACCCTGTCCCTGGGCTCCTCCAGCCAAGTGGCAAAAAGGACTTTTTAGGAAAAGGGAAGTAGAAAATGGAAGGAAACGAGCATTTATTGAGTGTCTGGCACTTGTTGTATGTTTTGCCGTTTAATCCTCATAACAGCTCTGTGAGATTGGTGTTACCTTGTGTTTCAGAACTGAGACTCATTGAGGCTAAGTAACATGTCCAGGGTCACACAGCTAGTAGTGATGGAGCAGAAATTCCAGTCGGGCCTGTTTGTCCACAAAGATTTTGCTCTTTTCACTGTGCAATCTTGAGGCAATCTATTCATAAATACCTTCACTGAGCACTGTACCTGTTAGCGATTTGGAAAACTGCTGGCCTCCAATACACTAAACCCTGATCGTACTTTAGGGTTAATTAGTTCAAGTAGTAACTTCTAACATCTAATTATTTAATCGTTAGCACTCAAATTATGAATATTTTGATCCCCGACCCATCATTATCAGATTCCAGTAGCATTTCTGACTGACTTCCTTCCTTCCATCCATTCTTAGTACAACTAGTGTTTATTAAGCAACTATAATTTGACTCCAGATTTATGGCTTAGCAATTTGAATGCATTCTGCTGCTTCTCACAAAGATAGGGAGAATGGTAGGAGAGGAAGAGAAGGG